CCCTGCTCAGCGGGAAGTCTGCTTCTCCCTCTGACCCTCCTCCCTCTCATGCTCTCTGTCTCTCATTCTCTCTCGCAAATAAATAAAATCTTATAAAAAAAAAATAGATAAATAAATAAAGTAATTTTTCCAAAATATTAGAGGACTCCCTTACTTTTTCCAAAGTTCCATCTTAATTCTTTGATCATTCTCTGTGGTTCATCTCTCTTGTGGATTTCTTCTTTAATCTTTCACTAGATTGTTTGCGATTGGCTTTGAGTGGAATCCTATTATTGACTAATATGGCTTTTATGGGCTCCATTATATTCTGCATCAGCTGCTGATTTGCACTTCTAGTTTGCAACTTACTTAAAATGTCTAGTCACAATTGTTATTCCAACAGTTAGCAAGGGGTTGCCGTAAGGAGTAAATAAAATACATAAACATGATAGCATAGTAAATACTTAATTATGAGAAAACCCTCTTCTTCGATATCCTCAGATGTGGCATATTTGTTTGTGTTTCATGCCTTTGCCTAGAATATTCCATCCTTTGAGACAGGTCAGTTCACAGATGAGCATTTTCATGTTATGGCTACTTGTACTTCCCTATAAAACATTCTGCTGAGCTCGTAAGTTGGAGCCCTTGGGAAAAGAGAACCCTAGGGTATAAATGGTTGGAGGCCTGGGGTGGCAGGCATTTCCAGAAGCTGATACTGTCATCAGGGGTGAGCTGACAGAGACCCCAGTCGTACAGTATTTAGACCCCAATCATGCAATATTTAGACATTGCTGAGGTTGAATTCATAGGACCAGTAGTTGGGCACCTGAAAATGTAAACTGGAATAAAGAACTCAGGAAAGAAAGCACTGAGGGTGGAGTTGGGAAGGTGGCAGAGATAGCGAGGTAGGTTTTCAATCCTCTGAGATGTGATTTTGGTGGGCTCTTTACCCTCCACGAAGAAATAAACAACCCACGCCAACGGATTGCACCCACTGGCACTTTCGAAAAATTCCTTTTAGTTTTTAAGTCTTTGATCCATGTTCAGAAGTCAACACCCTTGACAGAGCTGCCATTTGGAGCTAACAGTCCCCGCAGTGTCAGTGGAAGATTTGATTGGGGTGTCTTAGAGGAGAACGGGAGGGTGTGACCGCAGAGGAGGGAGAGAGCGCCTGGCACGACGTATGGCCCAGGGCGCAAGGCCTGACAGCCTCGAGGGGACCCGGACCAGCGGGTGTGTTTGAGGCTTACATACTTCAGATTTCTGCATGCCTGCGGACGCACTCTTGACATGCCTCTCCTGGCATGTGGCCCCTTCACAGCATAAGCCTCCGGTCTGGTCACGGCCGCTTCCTCTCCACCAGGGCTGCAAAGGGCCAGGCTTGGGCATCTCCTGCTTCTGCTGTTCTCGGTTCCCATTCCTGAGCCTCCTTTTCTTCCTCTCCCCACATCCCACCGGCCCTCCCAGGCCACCTCTTCTCTCTAGCTGCCTGTGACCATCCCTCCATTCTTTCCACCATATCCCTTAGTCTTTGCGTTGTGGATGTTCAGCATTTAAGGGCATTTAGCTTTTCCTGAATCTCATTGACTTTAGGTTTATTCTCTCATGCACGTATTATATGCGTTCTAACTAACTTAGCATTTCTCTAAATGTGTCCCCATGAAGTAGCACGATCGTAGTATACACAAATAGGCCTATAATCAAAGGGTTGGAAATCCTGGTGTTTGCAAAGGTTGAAAACCCTTAGGCCTCTGCAGAGCTTTAATTTCCAAAAGCAAATCCTGAATCCCTTATGGAGTGTTCCTCAGTGTTAGTCACTTTTACAAGAACCTGTTTTTAATCTCTCAGGGACAGTGTCCTGCAAGACATGGTTTCCAGAAGGGCTGCTGTAATTGGCTTAGGCTCTGGAAGGGTGGCAACCCCATTGGCCTCCCCTGTGGATCCCCACGTTAGCTGAGTGCAGTCATATCTGAGTAAACTCTTGGGACATTTTTTTAAAACTTTTTTGTTGTTGGAGAAATTTCTATAAAATTCACCATTTAAATCATTTTTTTTTTTTTAAGATTTTATTTATTTATTTGAGAGAGAGAGAATGAGAGACAGAGAGCATGAGAGGGAGGAGGGTCAGAGGGAGAAGCAGACTCCCTGCCGAGCAGGGAGCCCGATGCGGGACTCGATCCAGGGACTCCAGGATCATGACCTGAGCCGAAGGCAGTCGCTTAACCAACTGAGCCACCCAGGCGCCCCTACCATTTAAATCATTTTAAGGTATACAATTCAGAGGAATTTGGTATATTCACAATGTGCATCCCTCACCGTCCTCTGATTCCAGAACATTTTCGTTACCCCAAAAGGAAACCCTGGACCCAATAAGCAGTCACTCCCCAGCAACCACAAATCTGCTTTCTGTTCCTATGAATTTGCCTATTCTGGACAATCTCCTATCAGTGGAACCGTAGATACCAGGTCTTAGACCTGCACCATACCTCAGCTCCCCCAGTGTAGCTCTCTTTCATGGGCCAAACCTCATCCGTGTGTAAGTAACAAAAAGCAACTCTCCACCTGGAAATCTTCAAGTCATGTGGCCAGGTTAAAAATACCCATGGAATACTGCAGAAGAGGGTCAGCAGTGTGTTTGCCATTGCCATGATTGGGCCTGGGATTTCAGGGAGCCGACTTGAGCTGGGCAGGGAGCCCCTTCCTGGTGGTGGAGATAACAGGCTGCTGGTACAATTGGCTTATCACTCTCACCCATTTCCTCTCCAGTCAGAGGTCTGCATGTCAGGCTGCTCATCATTTAATAAACTACCAAACATGTTAGAGTGGCCTGGGTTCTTCAGGGGCGGAATCTTCATTTGTCCTTTGGGCACGGTCATCAAGCCTGAGGACTCAGGCAAAAATTGGATATCCCGGGGCTCTCTGTCTCATGCATTGGAATTCACAGGGGATGGATTATTCCTCACCCACTAGAGAGAGCTGCTGGCCACCCCCTTGTAGCACCCCTTGCCCACCTGCCTCATGGGCTTGTGCAACCCCCTCCTGTTGGTCCTTTGAATTGCCAAGATTGTCTCGTCTCTGGGCTGCATCCTTCACTCGTCCACTCTTGATGCCTCTCGAGGCTGGGCACACCACTGTGCACTCTTCCACCCAAGAAACTGTGGTAATTGTCTTGGTGTCAAAACACCTTTCTAGTTTTAGCCTGTCTCTCTCCTTCTCGATGTAGACTGTGGTCCTTCATACTTACCAGACTGGTCTTGCTCCTCTGCCCCCTCCAGCCTCTAGCTTCTCCTCCCCAGGCTTGGAACCACTGCCTGCTCTCTCTCCTTTTCCTTGACCAATGTGACTTTTCCTTGAAGCTCAGCTCACAGCTCAGCACTTGCACAGGGCTTCCCTGAACATTCCAGCCACTCTTGCTGCCCCCTCTACATTTGTGTTCCAACTCTAGTACCACAGAATTTAGAGCTGGCAACGTTTTTTCCCAAAGATTTAATCACTTGGTCTTTCCCTCCCAGTCAGATGACTAGCTCTTGGAGGAAGGGACAATGGTAAAGTTAAGCAAGTGGAGTGGGAAGGCGCCAGACTGTGAATCTGGGGGCCAGGTCACCTGTGGGAGCGGCCACTCGCTGGCTCTGTTGTCTTGGAAAAGCTACTTCTCTTGAACTTCTGTTCTCATCTATAAAATGAGTGGGGGACAAAGAGAGTGTTTTAACAGTTTCCTATTTGCTGCTCTAAGAAGTTACCATGAACTTAGTGGCTTAAAGCGGCACAAATTTATTCTCTTAGCATTGGAGGTCAGAAGTCAAAAATGGATCTGTAGGTGACATTCCTCCTGGAGGCTCTAGGGAGAGTCTGTTTCTTGTCTTTTCCAGCTTTTGGAGGCCAGCCTTGGAGGATATCATTCTGTCAACCACAGTGGGTTCTTAGGTCTCTTGTGTCTGTACACATTTCTTCCAGTTATGTAAAGAGTTTAGCACTGTGCTAGACTCGTTAATTTCTTGACCAGTTAGTTTATCTATGAGGATTTCCTCTTCCCAGATTGTTACTGGGGGTTCAAGGGCCTGATAAGACTCAGTGATAGAGCCGTGAGTGCAGACTTTAGGATTGTTGTTACATTTCCACTGACTGCACTTTTACTAGCAAAAATTTGATGATGCTCTTCTTCCTATTTTTGATTTCCTGCTTTGCCCGTTTTGAAAAAATCCTCAAAGAATTTCACCTGTTCCCCAGTAGCCAGGGGTGGCCTTTTAAACAGCTTGTTAATTATACTGGTGATTCTGCCGTATGTCCGTTGGTCTTTCCATAAATTCCTGAATGTGTTTCCAGGTCCTCTTGCATAACTTGCCACAGATGTGTCTTTAAGGATTAGAAGCCAAATAGCCTAGGATAACTAACCTAGCTAATTTCATCTGTAATTGCTACTAAATATCATGGTATTTCACAGGAATTTAGATAGGCATTTATATGGGAGTTATGTGATTTTTCTTGCCCTTCATCCCATCAGCTGGTGTCCACCTCGGGTGACCACCACTTAGAAAGCAGTGAGAAAGTGGGGTGCCCAGCCAGCTCAGAGGAGGATGCGTCTCTTGATCTCGGGGTCATGGGTTTTGTGCCCCACATTCGATATAGAGATTACTTTAATAAGTAAATAAACTTAAAAAAAAAAAGGGCAGTGAGAAAACATCTGTAAAATCCACCCCCCCATTTAATTTTAAGTTGTTTTTTTTTTTAAGCTTTTATTTATTTGACAGAGAGAGCACGGCGGGGGGGAGGCGGGGGGTTGGCAGAGGGAGAGGGAGAAGCAGGCTGTTTGCTGAGCAAGGAGCCCGCTGCGGACCTCTATCCCAGGACCCTGGGATCATGACCTGAGCCGAAGGCAGCCGCTTAACTGACGGAGCCACCCGGGCATCCCTAATTTTAAGTTTTGAGATGACTTTTCACTGTTGAGTCTGAGACACTTACAGTGTGGGTCAAGCACACCTGCGGCCTATATATTGAAGCTTTCTTCCTGCTTTGTCTCCTAGATGCACCCACTGGGCTTGTGTAATAACAACGATGAAGAGGACTTGTATGAATACGGCTGGGTAGGTGTGGTGAAGCTGGAACAGCCAGAGTTGGACCCGAAACCATGCCTCACTGTCCTGGGCAAGGTAAGCAAGCGCCAGGCCCTCTGAATCGCTTCGCTTCTGACTGGCATTCTCTGCTTTCCCATTTCATCAGTGGCTCACCCAGTTGGTTACAGAGAAGAGCCATGCAGGCCCAGCACTCTTTCCCAGCTGAATGGGGCAGGATGAGGACTAAGACATGTCTTGTGGAGGCCCCACTACGGTGCCTCCGAGCTCGGACTCTGACGGAGCCTGCCAGCCTCAGAGTCGGCTCCATCTCGAGTCACTCTGTGACTCTAGGCAAGTCACTTCCCCTCAAGGAGTCTCTGTGTCTTATAATAGAGATTCACAATACCTTCTGCCCTTGGGGACAGAGCTTTCAGAAATCTGAGATTTGGGGAGTTTAGAAAGGTATTAAGGCTGTGCATATTTTATATTAAGGGACCCCCCCCAGGAGGCCTGGGACCATTCTCAGTAATTAAACACACTCCTATTTGTGTAGCAGACTATACAGATATTCACATTAAGTGGGATAACTAAAATCTAAACAGCCTCATGTTAGTTCAGGGTAGCTTTGCCTCTCAATGAGCTCAGGTCCATTAAGTTTTGCTGCCAAGTAAGTTATGGAAAGACTTCGGGGTTTTAGAGCTTTTTTGGTTTCAGAATGGCAGACAGCAATTATGGTCCCATATTAGAACTTACCTCATAGGATGGTTAGGAGGTGAGATGAGATGCGAACAGCCAGCAGAGCAAGCTCTCAAAAAATGTTTGCTGACATTGGCTGCTGTCATCCCATTTGGACTAAAAAAGACTCGTGAGCCAAGAGGGGTCAGCATTATCTCCGGCTGCCGTGTTAAGATAGAAATAAATTTATTTTGGGAAACTATCCACCAATGATCTTAAAATATGACAGATGGCAATCTGTTTTAAACTGGATCATTTGTTAAAGAGAAAGGTTTGGAGAAAGCTATGAGAATTTTAGTTGGAGAAAAGGCGCTATCTCTTAAGGATAGTGTTATTGCCTGGATTGATTATCTATTTATTTATTTATTTATTTATTTATTTTTAATAATCTCAGAAGCTATGGGCAGACAGCTGGGGAAAAAACAGTCCTGGTTCCTGACCTCTTGGGGATCCAGGCAAGAGAAGAGGTGGTTTTGATGCAGGGTGCTTGACGGGGAGCCTTTCTCAGATTTGAAGATGTCCCAGCCAGTCTCCTGAAAGACTTTGGGTCCAGGAGACTGTTAAGGGTCTAATCTATGATTTTCATGTCCCACTTGTCTTCTGAAGCTTCTGAGCGCTTGTCAAGTTCTCCTGCTCTTTTATAGGGGGGGAAAAAAAAACCAACCCAGGAATTATTACCTGTTTGGTTTACAGTTTATGAAGTCAAATCAAGGTGTTTTAGGTGACCCAGGCCCTGATACTTCATCGTTTAAATAGTTGGCCAGAGCTGCTTAATGATGCTAGGAGAGCAGCGACCCCTTTGAGAATACTTTAGTGTTTTCCTAGGAGAAATGCCAGCTACATCTAAAGGTTAGGAACACTGCCTTCCTTGTAGGTAGTACACTCCTCAAGTAATATTTTCTCCTATACTTAAGCTGCTGCTATGCAGGGCTCAGCAACTTGGCCTAATTTGCTTCGCCCCCACCCAGTGGAGTTCCACCTTTGCATCTGTTGTGTCTATAAGTGGGTTGGAACAGGGCTCCCAGGGACCCAGTTGTTTCTTCCTCCACCTGGAACAACCGTGTAGTGGTTTTACTTGAAGAGTTTTGTATGGTTTGGCCTGCTGGCTTGCAAAGCCAGGGGGAATAAAAACCCTAGACATATATTGAAATCATTAAGTACTTCTTGGGTTTATTCATTCATCAAATATTTATTGAATGCAGAAGCTAAGCGTGTGGTTCTACCTGCTTGCAAGCAACAGCCCTCTCCCCCCACCACGTTTCTGTTTGGAAAGGCTCTGTGGTGGCCATGCGGTATTTACACGTGGTTAGTTACTGAAATTTGGCTTAACACCTGAATAAAATCATTAGCAAAAATCTTGGGCCAGACAAAGCAAGACAGTTCCACGTTTGTTTAGAGCCTGGGTCTGTACAGGAGGTGTGATGACTCATGCATCTCTCTCTCCCCCCTTCCTTTTTTTCTTTCTCCCTTCCTTCCTTCCTCTTTCTTTTCCTTTCTGATTTTAAAGTGTAATTGTTTTCAGCTTTGATTTTATTAACTTTGCTAACTGTGCTTTCCTTTTTTTTGAGCCCCTAGCAAGAGACTAGGATAAAGAAACGCAAAGTGAGCCTTGTGGGCAGCCCTGTCTCCTGCAGATAGCATGCTTTTCTCTCATTTCTTTGCTCTCGGTGGCTATGGCAAGAAGGCGATGGGCAGTGGAGAGAAGCACAAAAGCAAGAAACTGCAGCCAAGTCAGTGTGGGGGTGGGAGGAGGGACTCCTCCATATAGATGTTGAGACTTGCTGAAAAACATCTAAGGGAGGACTCTGTCAGACATTCGGAAAAGCCTGTGGGAGAACGGCGGGGGCGGGGGTGTTGGGCCAGACACAGACCCCCTCTCCCTCCTCCGCCCTCTACCCCCCCATCACCTACCCGCCCACAGAAAATGCCATGGGGCAAAATGTTGAAACAAGAGAGGAATGTCCTAAATTAAAAAAACTGTAAATGCCTCTCCAGGAGTTCAAATAAAGTTTCATTTTAAAAGCAAAAGACATAAACTCATCACCTTGGTTTATTACTGAATGCTTTTGAACTCCTCAGAAGGGAACACTATAACTCATGAGAGAAAAATGATTTATGATCCCCCTCCTTATAATCTTTTCAATCCTGCAGGAGGCAGGGCAGACAGTAGGATCAGCTAGGGAGGCAGAGTTGGGGTGAGAGGGAGCCCCCCACAGGGATACAGCCAGCCAGGGCACCAGGCCAGGCCCTGCATCACACGAAGCGCGGAACAAATCTCTTGGCTTTCTGGGCCTCTCTTTTTCACTTCGTGTTAAGATGCTGTTACGGCCTCCTTACTCTTCCAGTATTTTCAACTTCTGTGTCATTTAAAATCTTCCCTTGAGATTCTAGTTGGGGGAGATTCTCTTTGCAGCATTGAAAGGCAGACTGGGTTACCTGTGACAGTTTAAGTGCTAAGAAATTAAAGTAGAATGAAATTGACCTTTCTGAGGAGCTTGCTAACTGAAAGTAAGAGACTTAAACCATCCCCAAAGTGCAGGAATCTGTGTTTATGTCCTGGGCATTTTAACCCTTCAATTCAAACAGTGTTTATTAAGCATCTTACGGGACAGGAAAGAAGTTTGAAGGTTGGCTTTACTAGCTTCAGTTCCTATGACCCGTCCACGTAATGGAGGGTCTCATGGCAGGAACACACAGGATGTGCTGGAGTTTCTAACAAAGCCCGCCTGGCCCAGATTCCATAAATGGAGGCAGAATAAACCTCTTCTCCCCCTCATCCCACATTGGAGTGGAGCCTTAGGGAGGGTTTTGAAAGGCCGGTCAACAGGCGCGGACTGGCTCTTTCTGGTGCTTAGGAGGACAGTGTGAGGAAATGCATGAAAAGACAAGAAAGGCAGGGGATTTCAGGTCACTGAGACCCAGCTCTGGCAGAGTGACCTCCGAAAGATCCCATCAGTCCGGGGGCCCTCGTGCCCCCCCTTGGGGCTGGTGCTGCCCTTTTCATCACGTCAGGGGTCCCGCAAGATGTCTGCGGAGAACTTACCACAGAGTCTGGCTCGTGGTAAACGCCTGACGGGAACGTAAAAGCAGCCGTCATGTGTTGGGTGCTCGCTGAGCACTAGAAGCTTTCCAGGCAGCATCTCTCATTGTCAGACTGACTCTGGGATCGTGTCCAGATTCCCATTTTACAACGAGGAAATCGAGTCCCAGAGACATTGTCTGTGTCACCTAAGATCAAACAGCTGCCAAGTAGCCGACCTGAGATCTGAGATAAAGACGGTTCTCCTGCCTCATCTGTGTTAGTTTCTTCCCCTTGCCCCTTTTTGTCTTCACTAGTTTGTAGATAAAAATCGGGTGCTTTTTAGTAGCCACTGGCTTGGTTAGGACTGTTGGTTGCACTTAACAGAGACCCAGCTTGAACTGTGTTGAGCCAAAAGGGGATTTGCTCTTGAGGCTCCTGGCTGGCATCAGGGAACCCATGAGAGGTGCTGCTGCTGTTCTAGAACACCCGACTCTGGGGCTCAGTGCCAGTGGCCCCTCCCCGAGTCTTCTGTATATCTGCTTTTATTTCCTCTCTCTCCACCTGCTTGGTAGGATACATAGCTCCCCCCCCCCCCCCCATATCTGGGCCTGACGCTCTCTTGGTTTCGAGCCTGAAGGATTCCAGTAAAGGGATTTGTTGGCCCCTCTTGTATCCGGTGGTCACTTTCAGCTGTGATCTAGGGCTGGGAACACACAGAACTTAGCTTCCTGCCCAGCCATGTGTGGGGAGTGGGAGGAAGAAGGCTCTCCAGAAGAAAGCTGGTGGGGGGCAGTGCTGGGCTACCCCATTGTAGTTACCAAGTCATATATGGGATCGTTAGCTGGTGGGTGATGTCCTCAGTTTATCCTGAGTCAGTCCGAGAGGCCCCAGTGGGAGGGGACTTCTCTGGCGCATGTGTACTATGAAGAGTTCGTTCCTCTCCTTGCCCTGAGCTGAGGCCCGATCCCTGGTACAGACACTAATTGTGAGGAGAGGTGAATCTCTGGGGTGGAGGGGTCAGGTGAGTTTTACAGAGAGGGGCTGTCTGAGTCTGGGAGAGATGGGGGAATAAGCTCCAGGAACAGGGCAGAAAGAAAGGAAGCAAGAAGTTCTTCAAGGGGCATTGAAAGTTGCTGGGGAAGAAAGAGGCTTTCAGGTTGAGGAGTGTAGTCTTCATTCCCTAGGCTGGTTGGAGAGGGAAGGATCAGGTTACTCTTCGCTGTTGGGTGTTTCTGGGAAGTGAGTGGTGCCCAGACGTCACTTTTCTTCAGTGGTTTGGTGACATTCAAGCCAGTGGCATTGCTGAGGACACCTCGTGTTTGCCTTCGTATTTCCCCAG